GTAACACACACACATTTACACACACTCCTTACTACAGTACGTGCATGTCTATATTTAGAATGAACAGCAACAATTAAAGCTGGAAATTGTTTCAGAAACCATTGTTGATTGTTTGGTATCAAACAGCAGCAATTGAGTGAAAGGTGGCAGGATGCAGTTTTGAACAGAAAGTTCACCTTCAGGACAGGTCTGTCTGCCACAGTGGCTTCCTTTCTGGTTGTGTTCTCCTTCCTCTGGGTGTTTTTTTCAGCTGTTTCTGTTGTCTTTATGCTAGCTAAGCCATTAAAAGTGTGTATTTCTCCCTCCAGGGGTTTAAAGATCCTTCATTTCGAGTGCTGTTTATATGCAGATTAGACACGTACGAAAGTCACGGTGCCACTGAAGGAAGTAAACTAACAGTGGCAGGAAGTTCTGAAGGAAAGTGGGTTGATTTATCGATTGGAAAATATTCAAACGGTATTTTACATCAAGTTATTCTGCATGCAACTGACAAAACTATGCAGGCAAATCATCATTATTTTACTCTTTTCATTCATCACTGGTCTTTTCTTTGACGTGATGTGTATTGATATATCCTCCCAGCACAGATGATGGGCCAGGAAAAATGTATTATTTTTGAGTTTATTAGGGTTTTCATATCTATAAATAGCAGAATGAGACAAAGATACAACTGGCTTTGCAATCAGTAGCACTGTCTTTATTTTCAGCTTTTAATGAATAATAATTATAGAGTTATAACACTGAAGAGATCTGATCCTCCGTTCTTGCAGGGAGACCTACACATCATTTCTGATGTTAATGAATTCAGATTGATACAGCTCTATTTCTAGGCTTATAAAGAACATTTTCAAAGCTATCAAAGGATTTTCTAATTTTCAGATTCTTAATCAAACAGGGAAAAACAAAGGAAATGAGCCCAAAATAAAATAAAAGCAGTGACAGGAGCAGACTGATGAATGACTGGAACGCTACATTTCAGAAATATTTCCTCCCATCAAACTGCAGTCTGCTGAGAGAAACCACAGCTATAACTTCCTCTTGTTGAACCTTGTATTGAATTACCAAAGTCCATTGATGGGTGGCTTCTTGTCATTGATGTGAAGTGGGGATTTATGTATTTTAGCTTCTTGGCTTGTGTTGTTTGTAACATTTAATTCTAAGTTGTCTTTTTCACAGCAGACATTTTGACGTGGCGCAATAGGGAACACGCAGATAATAACATTACGATGGCTCTGTTCTCTTCAAGAGTCCCAGTAATCCCCGGCAATCTGAAACTGAGTCGGCTAGATAGAATTCAGCCATCATTTCATTATTTACACCTGTGCTTTTCCTACTCTCCTCAGGCATTGTGAGGGGGAAAACAGAAAATAAATCATATGTTTTTACACACACACACACACACACACACACACACACACACACACACACACACACACACACACAGAAATGCCTAAATTGTTACAGTGTGAGTCCAAATATCCTCATACTCTTGCCCCACCAAAACTGTTCATCTCCTCCCTTCTTCCAGCCACGCCCTGCCCTAACCTTCCATCCCTTCCTGTCCTCCCTACTCCTCCCACTCACTAGAACCAACAGTTCCCAAGAAATATTGCACATTTTAAAGAACATATATATATATATACTGTAAATGACATTATTTGAAAAACAAAGACAGATGCTAATCTTACAGCGAAATATTAAGCTGTGTTAACTTCTTATGGCCAAAAAGTTTGTTAATGTACATATTGGCCACAATGCAAACCACTTCACCCAAAGAACCATCTCCACATCTGCCACTGCAGTGATCAACCTGCCTTTAATAAACACACCAATAAATCTTGTGATAAGTTTTTGATAAACTGAACATTTTAATGGGGTACACGTCCTCACTTCACACTCTCCAAACTGTTTGTTGTTATGTTTCTAAATGAGACATTCCTCACATGCCACCGACTCAGTGTTTTCCAGCAATGGAGTAATCTTCTGTAAATACCACAGCAAGGATGGATACTAAAGTTTCTCTGTGTGTTTGTGTGTGTGTGTATGTGTGTGTGTGTGTGTGTGTGTGTGTGTGTGTGTGTGTGTGTGTGTGTGTGTGTGTGTGTGTGTGTGTGTGTGTGTGAGAGAGAGAGAGAGACAGAGAGAGAGAGAGAGAGAGAGAGAGAGAGAGATGTGGGGTGGACATAAACTGTCCTGAATGTCTCAGTCTAAGGGGGTCTTCTTTGTCATAAACATAACTGATAGCATGCACACACACAAACGCACGCACGCACGCACACACACACACACACACACACACACACACACACACACACACACACACAATCACATGGCTGGGAAGACTCATATGAGTTGAGTCGGTTGTCTAATCTTGCAGCCTGGTACCAATAGGACTGTATTTACTCTGCAGGCCGTCAGCTTGGCCCACTGCAACAACATGAAATGAAAACATGCCGATGTCTTAATAATCCATACATAAAGAGACACACACACACTCTCTGAACAGTCTGCATGACGAGTACTTTTACTTTTGATACTTTACGTATATTTTGATGCTAATACTTTTCTACTCTGTAGTATTTCAACTAAGTCAAATATTTTGAGTACTTCTTCCACCACTGGGTGGGGATATTCATTTTAAAGGCTCCTATCCCAAAAACCTGAGAGCATTTCTTACAAATTCTAACTAATTGTAAATTGTAATTTGAGGAATGGTAATTTGGTGAAGAGGTTTTCCTTTACTGCACTTCTGTCTTGCTGCATGTTCTTTGGCATGCCGTGTTCTTCCTTGGAATTTCTGTTGATAATATTTCAGTAGTTGCAAAACTTTGTTGATCCATGGCAACTATCACTCCTCGTGGTAAATAACCAGTTTCTTTTTGGCAAATAAATCGCCATTTCAGCAACAGGCTTCCTGGGAAACCCCTCTGGTTCCCACATACTGTAACACAAACTTGGTGTTTAGAACAGAGAGCTTTCATTAAATGGATGTAGGCTGAATCAGTGATGGGTTCTTCCATCAGTCAGCAGTAGGGAAGAAAAGCAGACACTTATTTATTTGAAAATGTCATGGATCATTACTTTAAATCTTGTGCTCAGCCTCTATTCCACATTTCAGCAAATACCATATGTGCTCTGCTGGCTGCGTGCCCCTGCTGTACTGTAAAATAATAGCAGCGTAATGAGCAGGGTACCAGGCACCACATCTACCCCATCCAGACTGCTGTGAGCCTGCAGGTGGTGTGATTGAGGGCCTGTGGTGTGAGAGCTATAAATCCTTTGTGTGTGTGTGTGTGTGTGTGTGTGTGTGTGTGTGTGTGTGTGTGCATGTGTAATCACATGGCAGGTCTGAATAATGATTGTGGAGTCTGCTGTGTTTAATGAAAGATGGCTGTTATGGGGGAATTTAGCTTTCTTGGTGTCTATCTGAGGCACATTCTTTATCCTCAGCTCCACCTGCGACTGTGTGTGTGTTGGCATTTTTTTATCAGAGTGCTTCTATTGAGGATAACAAAAGGCAACACAGCTACGCAAATGGATACACACACTCAACCCTGCTAAAAAAGAGTCCACTGCACAGCTCATGAGCTTTTTTTTCTACATTTTGTCTTCCCTCCACAGTGGAGAAAATGTATATCAAATGACCTCTCAGTTGGAGTGTGTGGCATGGAACTCTGTCAATACACTGGCATTCACCATGAAGAGGTAGGACCTTATCCATCACTCTCTTTAAATAGCAGCAGTCAGTCAAGTTGATGTTGAATAAGACAGTGTAGGTCTGATCCAAGAGCATCAGTTCTTAAATGTCCAGTGTGTAACATTTAGTGGCATCCAGCGGTATTGCAGCTCCCTCGCCTCACCCTCCCTTTCAAAACGTGAATGAGAAACTATGGTGGCCATGAAACACAAAAAAATACGAAATGCCTTATCTATAGCTCGCGTTCGGTTTGTCCTTTCTAGGCTGCTGTAGAAATGTGGCAGCGTAATTTTGCATGGATACACACCACTGAAAACATACCTGTGAATATTATATTCCATTTCCTAAATGTTACACACTGGACCTTTAAGGCCATATTCTGACTTTTCATTGACTTGTTACAGCATACGACACCCTATATCCTTAGACATTTGATTCCTTGATGAGGAAAAAGTCCAACAAAAAAAACCCCTTTAGTAGACTTTAGTTGAGCTGAAAAGGGATAATTGTTTTGTTAGTCATAAATGTGAATAAGGCCATAGAATAAGGAAAATAAGAGAAACAGCAGGAGTTCCTAGTCATTTTTAGAGTTCAGTCTGAGCTGTCACAAAGCACACTCCACACACGCACGGCCTGTGACATTTCTAGTGGCCGATTTAGAGAAATATTCATGGGAAGAGGGTGTGGAGACTTGGGGTGGCAGAAATATTTGCTAAATTTAACACCTATATTAATATTTGTTTAGAAAATCTCCCAAATAAAGATATTTAAACTCAAAAACATCATTGTGGCACATTAGTAAAGCATTAAATAGAAATATCTAAAGGTGGTTTTAGAAATCAGTATATTCTTTTATCTACAAATCTTCAGAGAGATTTTTCCAAATACATGTAGTTTTTAGTTGAATATAAGCCTTCACACATCACTTAGTCTAAAATGTGACCATAACAGATTATTGCATTACATTAGATGTATTATATGTGTAAATTTCCATTTTATCCAAATTAATGTGCTCAATTTGACAGCATTCTGGGCAGTAGATTTAATGGACTTTCTGGTACATGTTTTGGTATTTTGGCAGAAAGTAGATTGGAAATTAGGAAATGAGAGGATAGAGTGGAGAAGATGACATGGAACAAAGGTGCTTGGCATGGTGCTAGATGAAAGGTCAGGTGGTCCCCTGGGAACCATGAAACTCTATACTCTCCATACTCCAAACTTTTCATGGCAAATCTGGTTTGCAATTATAGAAATATCTTGCTTAGTGTCGGGTGTATTGACAGATGGACCCACAACCCTCAAA